GTAGTGAGAATCTTCGTCTTCTTGATGTTGAGCTTCAATCCTTATTTAAGGCTGCAGTCCTTGATCTTCTGCAGCACATTTTTCAGGTCCTCTTCAATTTCATCAAGGTTGTGTTATCGACATAACACAAGTTGTTGATGAGTCTTTCTCCAATTGTGCTGATGAGTCTTTCTCCAATTCTAATACCACCTTTCTCCTTATAAAGACTAACTTCCTGGATGCTCTGTTCTGCATTGAGATTGAGAAGGTATGGAGACAAGCCATATCCCTGACTCACTCCCTTCCCAATTTTGAACCATGCAGTGTTTTCTTGTTCTGTTCTGATGACTGCTTCCTGGTCCAAGTATACATTTCCCATGAGCACACTCAGGTGTTCTGAATTCGCATTCTTTTAGCCACAACTTGTGATCCACACAGTCAAATATGTGTGCACAGTCAATGAAACACAGACATCCCCTTGGTACTCTCTGCTTTTGGTCAACATTTGTTTGACATTGGCAATGACGTCCCTAGTGCCACAGCCTCTTCAAAACCCAGCTTGTTTTTCTGGCAGTTCTCTGTCAGTTTACTGTTCTAGTCAATTTTGCATCATCTTCAGCAGGGTTTTGCTTGCATGTGATACTAGTGATATTACTAGATAATTTCCATACTCTGTCGGATCACCTTTTTTGAAAATGGGAATAAATTTGGATCTCTTTCAGCCAGTAGGTGTGCTGAGGAATTGAAGCTTGACCGCCAACAAGCTTGGGGACTGGGCCTTGCTTTGTGAATGCTGTGGCACTCAGAATGTCTCCAGTATACGCAAATAATGATTCCCCAAACAGAGCAGAACAAAAAGGACGGTTCTTGTTCTTGAGATAGATATTTCAAAGGTACAGAATGTGGTCACTTTTCTGACCTGAAACTGAGCATAGATGATCTGAGCATAGATGACACGGACAGCAGCAGGCCAGCGGTTGCCTGGGTTACGCTCTGGTCATGCTACATCTCATTCCCACATTCATCCAATGGACAAGCCCAAGTCTGTGTGCTGCAGGCACTGCGGGATGTTTCATGGTGAATTTAGGGGAATATATGCAGCACATATAAGGAGGAATGTGGCATCAGGTTTAGAGGAAGACTCATCAACAACCTGCACTATACAGATGACACAGCCTTGCTTGCTGAAACTGAGCAGGACCTGAAGCATTTGCTGCAGAAGGTCAAGGACTATAATCAGCAATGTGAATTGAAGATCATCATCAAAAAAACAAAGATTCTCACCATTGGGCCAGCTGGCAGCACCATGATAGATGGAGAAGAGATTGAGATTGTTAACAATTATAGTTTGCTACGTTCTAAAATCAACACTGTTGGTACCAGCAGTCAGGAAACTGAAAGATGAATTGCATTTAGGAAACTCTGCTCTTGGGGATCTCTCTAGAGTGCTGAAGAGCAAAGATGTCAATCTGGGGACTAAGGTGTGCCTGATCCATGTCATGGTCTTTGCAATTACTTGCTATGCATCAGAGAGCTGGGTAATGACCAAAGATGACAGAAGAGTTTGTGTTGTGGTGCTGGAGAAGAGTATTGTACATATCATGGACTGCCAAGAGAACTAATAGGTCTGCCCTGGAGAGGATGAAACCAAGCTGTTCCTTGGAGACAAGGCTTTTGAGGCTGTGTCTCACATACTTTGGGAATGTTGTCAGGAGGGATCAGTAGTTGGCGAAGGACATCATGCTTGGAAGGGTTGAGGGACAGCACAGGAGAGAAAGATCCTGGATGAGATAGATTGACACAGTAACTGAGGTAATGAGGGTAGGTGTGTCAGAGACAGTGAGATTGGCTCAGGATAGGGCAGGGTTCAGAGCTACTGTGCATAGAGTTGCTATGATTTGTAGTCAACTTGATGGCACACAATAACAACAACAACATGCAGAACATCACATGATCAGTCTGTCGAAGCTACATTCTGGACAAAAGCACAGCGCCAGGCTCCTTATGAAAACTGAGGGTGCACGTGTGCAGTTTATGTGGAGCTGCCCCAGGACACACCTCTGCTGAAGAAAAAGCACAGTACCCATTTGTGTATAAGAATATATTATTTAAAAGACAGTTTAAAAATAAAAATTATGTACATTGCCATTAATCCCCTTCCCTCCCCCCCTTTTTTATATCAGTGAGTAAAAGGGGTCTTAGAAAATGTGGTCTTGTGGTTTCAGGTGTTGAGAAAGGCCGGTTCTACACGTGGGGAGTTCCACGGAGCTCTGGTTGGCCATCCTGGTGAAGATCCCCTGCCTCTTCCACTTCTCAGGCACAGTCTGCTGGAAAGAGGAAAAGGGCTACTGGTTTGTTGTCGTTGGCATTGACGCTGTGGAGGCAACATCTCACATGTCACAGAATTACACACAGAGCATTTCGAAACACAAGGTCGATGGACATATTGTTGAACATGTTTCAGCAAAATAACACAATTTTTATCTGGGGTATTTCAAAATACAAGCTGACTTAAGAATAGAGCCAGATTTACTGAACACTTTTATGGACAGTCTCTGGATAGCACAAACAGTTACTGTGCTTGGCCGCTGATTCCAAAAATAGTACATTGGAAGAAAGGCCTGGCAAATGGCTTTTGAAAATTGAGCCACTGAAGAGCCCCCCCAACACACATGTCACCAGGCACTGTATTTTGCCCATGTATCTGGCACTGTGATAATTTATTTGCTAAAACAAAACTGCTGTTTGCAGAAAAAGCATTCTTTGCCCAGTTTCATTCCATTTAAATCCATATGTCTATGTGTCACCTGGTGAAACACTTTTCTTTTTAAAAATGTTATCACTTCAACAAATTGACTGGCAATTAGTAAATAGACAATAGGCACAATAGCATGAATAAATAAATAGACAATAGTAGCTTGGTGAACAGAAATGCCGTGTATACGTAAAAACCGAAACAAAATAAGAAATTCATAAAGAAAAATAATGAGACATTTTGAAGACTTTAGGAGAGGCTTTTTTTTTCTTGGAAATAGCATCAAAAGCCCAAGTAATTTAAAAAAAACAATAATAAATTAGGTCTCATAAAAATAAAAGCCTGTAATATTCTTCTAAGTAGTATGGCACTGGTCTGTCCATTTGCTGTACAGTGGTTAACCTGTGGTTGCTGTGATGCTAAACACTGTGACACTGATGTGTCAAATGTGTGAATGGTTACCCATGGCAGACAGTGTTTGGTGGAGATGCCCGATTAAAACAAGCTTAGGAGCAGGACTGGCATCCACTTCCAAAATAGCTTGCCTCCAGAAACTATGAACTTGGAGAAATGATTAAAGTTTTATACAAGTGACCCACTTGCTTGTCCACATACAGTGGCCAGTAAAGTGCCAGGAAAACTGATGGCCTGCAGTAAGGGTCGCTATGAGTCATGTACGACTCGATGACACTTAACAACAACAACAATAACCTTCATATAATGCTATTACAAAGGAGAATATATCACTTAGTATAGGAGAATGAATTTTAGTATCATATATTAATAACAACTCCCACAAGCAAATGAAAAAATATCCTTTAGACTCATGCATGATGTTAGCTGCTACCAGCCCAATACACAATGGAGTGAAATGCCACCCAGGCCAGTGCCCATCCCATGATTGGCAGTGGATCCAACCATTGTGCTTCCTACAGTTTTAAATGGCTGATTTCCAGAAGTAGACTGCCAGGCCTTTCATCCTGGTCTTAGCGTGAAACTCTGCGGAAACTTGTTGAGCATCATAGTAACGTGCAGGCTTCCTCTGACGGATGGGTGGTGGCTGTGCACACGGTTCATGGTCAGGAATCACACCCAGGTCTCCCATATGGACACAACATTCTCCCACTGAGCCACTTCCAAACCCCCAAAGGCTTGGGTTTGGTCTAACTTTATTTCATGGAAGCTAAATGGACTGTTATCTCATTCTTCATGGGTGAAATGAATAATGCCTATCAACAAGTGTATAGGAAGAACCTTAAATTACAGAAGAAAAGACCTTTTTTTTTTGAGGAATTTTGAGGACTTCTTTTACACTTTAAAAAAGTGTAGAGTTCTTTTCCTAACAATAATGCACATGCTAATTATTGATCTTTTTTTCTCTCTCTTTTCACTAACGCATGCCTCCTAGGAAGCTTCAGTGATAATGTTTAAGGAATAAAATTGCTGTAATTGATGACTGTTGAGTGACTATGATTTCCGTCTGTTATGAATTTGACTATGTTTCTCAAATATGGGTTGTGAATCCTAATCCCTTTAGTGGTGATTAGGAGCCCTGGTGGCACAATGGGTAAGTGTTCCGCTATTGAGCGAAAGCTTGGCAGTTTGAATCCCCGGCTGCTCTGCAGGGAGAAGATGTGGCAGTCTACTTCTGTAGTGATTTCATTTGAAGAAACCCTTTAGGGCAACTTTCTTTATCACATGAGTCAGAATTGGCTTGCAGCAACACAGGGGTTATAATCCATTTAGGAATTGCTTTTCTTTGTTATGTTCGTGAGGTAATATTAGTGTATGGTGCCTCTGAAATGAATCCCAAAGCAGACCTGAAAGAGCAGACAGAGCAAAGCAGTCAGCCAGCTGAGATGGGAGAACAGCAACAGGACACCCTGAAATTGAAGAGACAAGGACTCCTCCCCAGAGCTGACTAAGGAAGAAAGAATCTCCTGAGAGCTGGCACCCTGAATCTGAACTCCTAAGTTTCCTTGTTGTTATTGTTGTTTATTGCTGTCGAGTCGAGCATGACTCATAGCAAACCTCTGGACAAAAGGCCTGAAGCCTTTCTGTGATTTACTGTCATTTCTCCAAGTTCATAGAGTTTTCAGAGGCATCTGGTTTAAAAAGTGGATGCCACTCCTGCTTTTAAGCCTCCTATAAATTATGAAAAATAAAATACATTTATGTTTGTTACCATTACCCTTTCATGGCATTTTTGTTAAGGCAGCACCAGAAAATGAAGCTATGTTTCTCTCACAGATTTTGAATACCTTCCCTATTTTAGTCTAATTGACTGCATGCATTGAGAAGCCAATTCGGAAATTGCATTACCTTCTGTTTCTTTCATGTCTTGACTTTTTTCTCCTGTTGTTTCGGTGCCCCCCGACATCAGCCTCTCAGTCTGCTTCTGCAGCTAGGACAGAATGCAGAGGCAAAGGTCAGGCTCTGGGGGATCGATAGCAGGCGAGCGAGTATCTGTGAGTGGTGCAGAGGGCTACCACCATGCTCAAGGGCTAACGGAAAAGTGTGAGGTTCAAGTTCACCCGGAGGAAAGGCCACTCAGAAGAAAGGCTTGGCAGTCTATTTCTCCCCAAACCAGACATTGAAAACCCCACAGAGAGCAGGTCTACCCTGAGTTGGCTGACTTATGATCCTAAAATGTGAAGCCAAGATTGGCATCTAAAATCTCGGTGTACCAGAGCAAACAGTTTTTCAGAGATGGGGCACTGCACATGGGCAGCCTGCCCCAGTTAGCTGATGGCTCTGGGTTCAAGGGCCTTAATTGCAGGGATTGGCTATGGTGGGATAGTGTCTACCAGGCGGGTGATCGATTTGAACCCAGTGACCAGAAAGGCAAGCACACCCAAGATTAATTGTGCTTAGTTACTAATCTGTGGTGAACCTTTTCACAGGTTTTTCACCACATCCAAGATTGTACTTCTTGCTAGGGCTAGTACCTGCCTCTCTCCCAACCTCACAGCACCTTCCCACAGAGTTAAAGCCTCCCTTCAAATTTACAATCCCTTACAAGGATGGAGTATCCAGGAAGCAAGGTTAGCACAGGCTTACTTGCATCTAGTAATCTGTAGTGAACAATTTCACATGGGTTTCACCACATCTCTGACTAGGCAATGGGTCTCTGTTTGGACCTCTGTGTGTATGTCTTTTCAGGGGTCAGGAGGTGCCTGGCGAGGGGTGTCACTAGTGGCCACTCTGGGCCACCAGGCTTTAATATGTGAGGCTCAGCTTGTCCTGGGAGTGGGTCATGGGATACCTGCATACTCTGCATGCTTTGATCTCCGGCTTTTAGAGTTTTAGAGGCCACTCTGTGTGTAAAGAAAACCCAATTAGGCGAGTGTATTTAGGGTCAGGTTTTAAATCGGTGGGGGTGAGTCCTGAGCACGTGTGACCAGATTAGTGTGTGAGTGGAGTGTGGTCCAGGGAGATGAGGCCAACTCGAGGAAACACCTGGAACACAGCTGCTGGGACAATGCGGAGAGAAGGTCAGGAGTCTGAAGAGTCGGGGTGGGGAGAGGATCCTGTGGTGGGAGAGAGAGGTGGTGTGGCTCGTGGGGGCGAAGCATGCAGCAAGGGGGATGTTGCCCTGGCTGCATCTAGAGTGAGGTGGGGGGAGAAGCATGGAGGAGAGGCCCCCAGGGAGCAAGACACAGACTTCCAACCACTGGGCTCCCGCCCTGGTGAACAAGCTCATTGGGGCAGTGAGTCTGTATCGTCTCACAGTGCTGGCCTTTCCTGAACCATGAGAGGTGCTCTGACCCTGAGCCAGGTGTGGGTCTACTCCAGGAGCTGGAGCCCGGGTGGGGAGCTGCTTTGTCCTCAGGCCCCAGGGGAGCATCTCTTATCATGCTCTCACCTGGTGCCCTAGTGCAGAGGAAGTAACCCTGCTGACCCAAAGACCATGCCTTTCTGGCTGTTAGAATCTATCAGCGGCTCCCAAGGAGAAAGATGGGTCTGCACCATTTACAGCCTGGGAAACTCAGGAGAGGGTAAATTATGAGTTGGTACCAACTGGAGCACACTGAGTTTGAGAGTTTGAGCGCCCTCTACCCTGTCTCCATCGAACAAGGTCAGCTGAGGGTCTGAACTCTGCAATGTGCAGGTGACTTGATGCTGCCCAGGGCGGCCACCAAACAGTTTCCAGTGAAACCCAGTGAAACTCGGAGGCTTCCTGTTATGATTGTGGTTTGTTAACGAGCACTAGGCAGCACAGCATTTTACCTGACACATATCAGTTAGGCTTAGTGTAGAGCTCGAATGAGAGGTGCTCTCCTCATTCACGGGGAATGTTCTAGATAGAATCATGGTCACCTGGAATATGTGCTGGAATCCTGACCCCTCTACTTGTTGGTGTGATCCTGTTTGGAAATAGGGTTATTATGTTAAGGAGGCCAATCTGGGTTAGCCCCAAACCTACTCCTCCAGGTTATAAAATGAGCAGATGAGATACAGATACACATATGGAGAGACACAGATGCCATGTGAGCATTGTCTACCAGCCAATGAACCAAGGAATGCCCACTGGCCGCCAACAAGCCAAGATTGACACAGCCAACGTCCTAAATTGGGCTTCCAGTCTCCAGAACATGAGGCAGCAAATGTCTGCTTCAAAGTCATTCGCTGGTGGTTATTTGTGTTACAGCAGCACCGGCTGTGACAGGGGGCAACTTTAGCCACCGTTTACTTGGCACCAACAAATCCTGGTGTCAGGAACGGAAAAAGGAGTGAGGACGGCCCCGTTTACCTCTCTCACAGCGTCTTCTGTTTGCTTCAGTTCCTCATAATGATCCCTGGATTCCCAAAGGGGCTGGAGCATTATTTCTTCAACCACTGGGAAGAGCTAGGAGGGAAGAGCGGATTTGTGTGAGGGTCCTATCTGAAAGCATGGGTGTGAACAAGGCTCTGCTCCCCGCTCACACGTCTCATGGGTCACGTCCATTATGTCACACAGCCTGCTGCCCCCCATGTAGAGCTGCACAGGGTCCAGGGATCGTGCAGTCACTTCTACCTCCCGGGTCCTCATTTGTCACTTATGTGTCAATTTTCATCCTGGACAAAACACTCTTTTGTCCCTGCCCAACATGTATACCTGACTCTCTGGTCCCTGCTAGCTGCCCCGGTGCTGCCATCTGGGCCCCCGGCTGCCCCTCTGCCTCCACCCACAGCGTGAACCTGAGGTCTGCTCCTGGCGCGCTCTCTCTCACCTGCAGTTCTCATGCCACCTGTTCACCTGGGGAACATTCACTGGGCTTTTGAGACTCAATACTGATGGTGCAGCTTCCCCTCTGGGCCCGCTCTGATCCCAAGGAGGTGACCCACTGTCACGTTCGCCTGAGAACGCCATCCACACACAGTGCTCTCCACCTGCATGTGCCTTTGCCTCCTTTAGGTGCCAAGGCCCCGCTGCCAAGCTGCACCCCCAGGGATGGGAGTCCCTGACAAGCGTGTGGTGACATCCGCTCACCTTGGTCACAGTTTCAAACATGGGAATCAGAACGAACTTGATGAACCCAATCTGGGCTGTAGCTTTGGTCACTTTGTCTCGGTCCATGAATGGGGCCACAGGAAGACCTTCTGACTTCTCACGGTCGCTCTGCAGGGGGCATAAGAGGCGATGATGTTAGAGAGACTAAAGTCAGAAGAGTCCTTGCGGGATCCACGCTGCCTTCCCAGGAAGACGACAACGCACCAGTTACAACAACCAAGCAGACTACAGAAAGCACCCTGCTGAGCATTCCAGTTGACGTGGAGCTGACCCCTACTCACGATGACCCAGGCGTGTTACAGTAGAACCGTGTCCCTTAGGGGTTTCCAAGGCTCATCACCAGCCTTCCTTCCAGGGTGCCTCTGAGTGAACTAGAACCTTCAACTTTTGGGTTCCCAGCTCAGCATGGTAACGGTGTGCACCATTTAGAGACTCCTTCCAAAGAAAGAAAGGCCTAAGAAAGGCCTGAGCTGTAAGTGCTGAGCAGGGCATCGGTTATGTGCCTGGGTGGTCACGAGGGCAGGCACTGGGGCTTGGCAGGAGCCTGAAAAACCCCTTTGGGCTTGGCCAGGCTGTTCTATGGAATGTTTTCTTATCTTTTCCAATATATTCCACTTCAGGGGGACTTCAAGTTTTGTTTGCTTCTGCACTTCTCCATGGTCATAATAGAGACATAGAGACAGCAGGTGTGAGGCTGTGTGATGGGTGAGGGTGCAGGCAGCGGACCCTGAGCAGGGCAGGGAGAAAGTGGCTCTGCATCACTGTGAGGGCAGGAGGAGAGGTTTCTGGACACAGCCTATGTGCTTGTGAGCATGCCTGTACATGTGTGAGGGTCTATACATGCACGTGTGTGTGCACGCATGAATACACATGTATGTGCATGTATGTATCTGTGTATGTATGCATGTGAATGTGCCTGGTATAATTCATCCCTGGGCCCCACCCCCCTCAGCCTCCACAATCCTTGCTCTTGACTTGGAGGTGGTTTGTTTGACAAGTTAGCTCCTAATTAATGACTCAATTAGTGGTCACAGGCGGCAGCTTCACATTTGCTTTTCTGGCTTGTCACTGCCTTTGCTGTCCCCCATTACAGCCCATTTCATGTCTGACGTACACCTGTTAGTGAAGACGATCTGGGGGTGGCTGAGCCTGTCCAATGCTGTCCTCTCTTGAAAACCCTTTTCAAGCACAAGTCCCCATGACAGACACAGAACGAAGAGGAGCAGTGTGAGGCTCGGTGACTTTACGGCCCTCTTACCTGTGTAAAATACTCTTCCAATAAACAGTCCACCCACGGCTCGGCCACTTCCATCGGGCGGACCTCGTTAGAGATATCACAGCACTTGATCAAAATCATCTTCAGCTGAAAGGAGGTAGTTTGCAATTAGGTCCCAGATCATATGACACAGCCCACCGTGGACAACAGAGGCGGTGGGGGGGGGTTGCTGGGCTGGCTGTGACTGGGCTTTGTGCCCAAAGAAGTCACATTCCCCCCAAATGATGCCACTCTTCCCTCGGTGCAGGGTGCCCTGCATCTGCACTCAGACTCTCAGCCTCTTCTGGGAGGATAGTGGTACCCCCACTCCAAAGTGTCAGGACAATTTACGGAGGGGTTTTTTTTTGGTAAGTGTCCAATGCACATGTATTCTGTCACATAAACTGTAAATTCTAAAAGTTAAAAGAAAATCTCAACTGTTGGGGTTACATGGAAAACATACAGATAAAGGTCTGTTAGGAGGCCAGGTTACACATGAGGAATAGAAGAAATCCAGGGGGTTCCATCACAGGAGGACCTCAAGTGGTGAAGTGACTGTTAGAGACATGAGTGTAGAAGAGGGGAGGAGCCTCCTGTGGATGACGGGGAGGCACCTGTGCTGGCCCCCCACCCCTGGTAGAAATGAGGAGTTCCCGCCAGGTAGAACTCCCATTCTGTCCACCCCTTCAGCCTGGATGAGGAGATGACAGCTGCCGAAGCTGGCATTGCCTCCCCCCTTGCCCTGAACTTGCTTCTTCATGTCAGTTGGGTCTCCCTGGCCCAGATCTCTACTTGGCATACTCTGCCCAAGTCGTCATCCTGGCCAAAGCTCCCCTCTCATGACTTTGCAGGGGGACAGAAGAACTAAAATGAATGGCTTCCATTCATTGCTCTGCCTCAAACCAAAAATGCAGTGGAAGAATGGGGAAGTGCATGAGGAGCTTTGTCAGGCAAAGGGACCAGCCTAGAGGCCTTCCCAGTAAGAGGATACGAACCTTACCAATACCTTGCTCCAGAACCCAGGCACAGAATTTTGGCTTCTTTCTCTCTGGTATCACCTCAGAGACCTGGCTCTCATTTGATCAGTCCCCACTCCCCCAGAGAGGTCAAGCAAACCTACTTACCAGTGTCATATGCTCCTCGTTGGTGTAGTCAAATTTCTCCATTTTTTCTTTGAAAGAATCCATGATTTCCGCATGCCTTGCCATGTCAGTGGCCAAGATCAGTGTAATTATCCCCTGAAAAGGAAAGAACAAGGCGTTGGCCCCCGTGAGTAATCTGAACAATTATTTTATGAGCTCCTGCTGTGTGCTAAGGCCCCACACGAATTCTTCTGTATCTCCAAGAATCACAGATGAGGAAACTGAGGCTTGGAGCGTTTAGGGATTTGCTTAGGTGAAGCCAAGAGGTGGAAACCTGGGGATGCAAGCCGAGGCTGGGTGACTCGAGGCTCTAATGTGCTGTGTCCTTAGGGATGTTCACTTGCAGATCCGACACCTGTGGTTCCTAGGATTTTCACTGGCTGATTTCCACAAGTAGATCTGCAGGCCTTCCTTCCTATTCTTAGTCTGGAAGATTTATGAAAAGGCATAGCATCATGTAAGACTGGGAACCAAGTCTGTCTCTTGCTCAGAAGGAGAGAGTTCTGCCATGGAACACCAGTCTGCATGCACATGGTTTAGCACCGTGCTTCCTCGTGAAATCTCATTAATTTAGCCAAGGATGAAAGCTTCCTTTAATCTTCTAGATGTATGGTTCATTCCTCCCAGGTTTTGTTGGAGGCTAATGACTGACTTTACAAACAAAAGTAGTCATTCTACCCTGTATTCTATGTGGGGACTTCTGGTGGTGTAGTCTGTGAGGTGTTGTGCCTCCAAACCAAAGGCTGCTAACCTGTCTGCTGGTTCTAACCCATCAACAGTTCTGAGGGAGAAAGATGAACAGTCTCTCTCATGTGTTTTATGGGCTCAGAATACCCAACGGATAATCGGCTACAAGTTGGTTCCCACTTGACAGCAGTGAACGAGTCGATCTATATATGTTTATGCATCTATACACACACATACATATTGCTTGAGAATGATCAATGTCAGAATATGCCTTATAGTGTTTTCCTGTTAATAAATGTATACATGGTGATGAAATGAGTCGTTCTAAAGGCATTTCATTTCTTTATTAAAAATATTGATTTAAGAGAAGTAGCATAATGCAAAGCCAGGGTCATCCACTTATCTATACTCCCACTCACCCATCACCCATACATTTATTCCACACACACTCAGAAAACACACTTCTCTGCCAGGTATGCCTCCCCTTTCAAAAACAGCAAATGAATAAAATCAAGCCGCAAGCATCAAGTACCACCCCCAAATCAACCAACATAGGCAATCTCAGATGTATCTGGAAAGAGGGGTTGGAGAGGCAGGAATCACTGGCATTTTGAAATAGACAATTTGCCTGTAAAGATTTCATGCTGTGTTTATCAGTGAAGAATTTGCTCTGTTATCTTTGAAAATCTTCAAAGGACAAATATTTTTTTTAAGACTTGGAAAATTAATTTCACTTTGAGAAGAAAGTCACAAAAAGGCTTGGAACACAACAAAGTTTGTCTGGGGCAGGGGGCCGTCCTGTTAGGGTGGTCACTTCTCTAACCAGGTTCTTTCCAGAAGCTGCTCTGACTCTCCCCAGGCCCTTCCCCAAGGAGCTCCTCACCCGGCAGCCAGTGGGGACAATGGCAGCTAATCCCAGTTACTCTTTATGATTTGCACCTTGACCCATTTCAAAGAAAGATTTGCTGCAGCTTATAACAATACTGGACACATGCTTGCCAGATGGTTCCATAAACATGGAGCCGAGGCCAGAAGGCTTATAGATAAAGGAGAGATAATTGTACCAGGAACTGGTGATTCAGTAAGGCCTGTAATTGAGTGCTGCATGTTGCATTGAACTTCCTGGAAGTGTCCACACACTGGAAACAATAGTTTATGAGGCTGTTGCTCTCTGATAAAGGGAGGCTTATCAGCTCCCCAGGAGTGTTTTCCTGGCACTGAAGTAAGTCTTAAGAAACTTTACCAAGTGCATCTTTCAAAAATACCATGAAGACTGAATGGACAAGGTTTTCAGCTGTGAAATGATAAATAATTTGGTTCCTCAAAAGGATTGAAGGGGACTCCTTGTCTTAGCTCCCCGTAGTGACTGTGAAAAACAGCACCCTCGTAGCACAGGGGTTAAGGACTTGAAGACCTAAGAGATGACCACACCCTGACGATTTGAAACAACAAAACCAAAAAATCAAACTCGAGCTTACCACCTGAGTTGATTCTGATTCTCAGAGACCCTCCAGGACAGAGCAGAACTGCACATGCAGGGTTTCTGAAACCGCAAAACTTTATGGGAGTGTCCTTTTTCTCCTAAGGAATGGCGAGTGGGGTCAAATCATCAACCTTTTTGGTCAGCAGCTAAATGCCTTAACCTCAGTGCCACCAGAGTTCCTTTCCAGAGACCAGAGGTCCAAAGTCAAGGTAATGGCTTGGTTTTGTTTTGGAGGCTCTGAGGAGAATTTGCTCTTGCCTCTTCCAGCTTCTAACGGCTCCAGAAGGCCCTCAGCCTGCAGATGCATCATCCTTTCACATTCTCCCTCCATCCGCACACGGCCTTGGGGTGTCTGTGTCTGGGTGGTCTAGGGTGATCTCATTTCAAAATCCTTCACTTCATCACATCTGCAAAGATTTTTCTTTCCTCAAGTAAGGTGATATTCACAGGTTCCAAGGACTGTTGTTGTTGTGTACCGTGGAGTCAGAACTGACCCATAGCTGACCCTCCAGCAGATTTTCAGAAGCATTTAATTGCGCAGAAGGAGATTGCCCGTCCTTCTTCCACAGAGCAGCCAGTGGCCTCGAACCGTGTGCCTTTGGAACTGCAGTACAGCTTCTGGCCACTAGGCCACCCCCTTTTTTGATTCAGTGACTGGGTAATCGGATGGGAGTGTCAGAGGCAGTGCGATTGGCACAGGACAGAGCAGAGTTTAGGGCTGTTGTACATAGGGTCGCTATGAGTCGCAAGCGACTCGATGGCACATAACAACAACAACAACAACTATACTCTTGAAGAATTCTAAGATCTTCCCTTTCCTAAACATGTTAGTGGGTAGAGCATGGAATTCAATGGGGACATCCTGTGCAGAAGGATGGCATTATTATTAGTTTTAAAATTACATTCTTTTTGATGAGTTAGAAATGTTTGCCTCACCACAACAAGATAAAGGTAAATAATCCAATAGAAAAATGGGCACAGAAATGTTTGCCTGACAACTGCAGAGTAATCGTGCTCTTGGGCAGGTGCCCTCTCTCCCTCCTCTTCCCAATGTGCTCCAAGAAGAAGGAAGTGTCTTTGTCTGAAGTGGCAGATAAGCTGGGCCACAGCATGGCAGGTGACAGAGGCTGGGGTTTGGGAGCAGTGTCTGGGCTTTATTAGGTTGGAGACAATGGACTGTGCCTTCTCAGCCAGCTACACACACACACACACACACACACCTCGAGACACACCCCCCCCGAGATACACACACCCACACCCACACACCCAAGACACACACACACACACACACACACACACACACACACACACACCCACTCCCTTGGCAAGGTACTAGACCTTGCAAACCTTAGTTTCCTTAGCTGTATAACGGAGATAGGACTTACATTGAAGTGCATTATGAAGGCTAAATTAAACAGTAGATGTGAAGTGCATCAACATACTACCATGGATGCATGTCAAAAGGGGTACCTTTTCTTGGGACTCTGCTATGGGGTCTGGAGGAGCTGCTGTGACCAGGAGGTTCTGGGAGCTTTGTCAGTTGCTGGAGAGTGGGGTTCTGCTCTGTGGTCATGTTCACTGTCATTTTCTATTGCCCAATGCACCCCCACCCCTGCCCCACACACCTCTGCTCTACACCGGAGATCCCTTGACCCTACAGACCTGTCTGATCTGCTTGAACCCATCTGGCTGAACATTGGAGAAGATGTTGCACTCGGGCTGGGCAAGGATCTGGAAGGCCACGGCGCAGTGGTGGTTCTCCAGCGGTGAGATGTCATTGTAGCGGACAGCCAGTTCTGTGCGTGCGTTGATCTGGTACCTGGAGATGCAGAGAGACACAAGGAGGCCATGGAGATCCAGGAGTCTGCACTCAGAGACCCTCGGTGGCCGAAGAACAAGCTGGGTGTATAAACGGGGCTTGTGGGCTATGGGAGAAGCCACAGGAGAGCTGAAGGAACAGACCGCAGTCTGCACCTGCCAGGAACTCTCTTCTCATGTCCCTCCTCCCTCCAACAGACAGAATGTCCTTTAAAAGGAAAGGAATGGAGGAAGGAATAAAAATAGGAAGAAAGAAAAAGAGAATCATGTACACACGTGTTGTTGTAGCCTGGATGATCCAAATCATGGCAGATGGCTGCGGTCATCAGGATCAGGATGTCCATCTGGGAAAACTTCTCCTGGGTGTGGAAAGACAATTCACATTTCTGCCATTTTTAACTCTCGGGGTGAAGAAGAGTGAGGAAGGGTTGGGATTCGCAGACACTGAGGAAAATGGGTGGTCTGGTGGCTTCGTCTGTAGGGAGTGGCATTGTTAGCCCAATGGTACTGCCTCTCTGGTAGTTCAAATCCACCAGCCAGAAAGATGGGCAACCTTCTCCTGTGCAATTTACAGCCCTGGAAAACACATGGGCGAATCAGCTACGAGTCGGTTCTAACTCAATGGCAATGGGAGGAAAATGAGGGGTGTGGGTAATTGTCTCTCCCGGACCTCACAGGCCCGGGCCTGTGAGAGAGAACCTTTCTGTTCTCTGGGGTGACTAGAGAGGTGACCCACTTGCTTGTCCACATACAGTGGCCAGGAAAGTGCCAGGAAAGCTGATGGCCTGCAGTAAGGGGCTTTCCTTGTTGGTGGCAGGGCTGCTGGGAAGTAGGGGCGACGGGGTGGGAGGCAACAAGGGCCTGCGTTAGGACCCACCTGGAGGCCACAGAGCCACACCATGCTGTACATCATCTGAGTCACGCAGAAGCAGTGCCTGAAGTTATGGAAGGGGTTGTTCCTGTAGTTGTCGTGCACGCAGAGCTGTGGGAGAGTCTGAGTTTGACTGCCAGCACTTGGGATGCCTGCCACCCACAGCGGGTCAGGACGCACTCTCTTTACCCACAGTGGGTCAGGACACACCCTCTCTAACCACAGTGGGTCAGGACGCACCCTCTCTAACCACAGCGGGTCAGGATGCACCCACTGCAGGCAGGATGTACTTGACTTTCCCTGGCTTCCCACAGGGACTGGCTGCCTCATGGCTGTCAGCCACAGCCCCATCAGAGCTCAGGGGCAATGTGACTCCTGGGCTGGCCAGTGGTAATGGATGGTGGCTCAGCAAGGCCACATGTGATCCCAGAAGGCAGCTGTGGGAAAAGTTCATCCATGGGTGTCCACGCTGACCTCACAGTGTGAGGTATACCTGGAGGTGTGTGAGGCATCCCATGGGAACATGACGTTGGGGCTGAGATGAGACCCCAATCTTTGGGTCCTCAATCAATGTGAAACCACTTTGATAAGATTCTATTGATTGACTCTTAAGTAGTAGTTTAGGCTAAAAAGAGATCTATTGTTACATATACATACATGTGCACACACATATATGCATACACACATACATGCCTGCCTAAGTACATATACCTACATGTGCACATGCTCAACACATGTGTACACATGAGTGCACACAGTACTGCTTTAGACACACAGACTCTTAATTCTTTCTCTCTCCTCAGGGCAGAATGCCGGGAGGTGGAGAATGCTTGGTGGAAGGGCAAGGATGGATGATGATCTTCTGGGATCTCACAGGAACACCCCACCCCCAGCACCTTAGGCAGCCCAGGGTCCCCAGGAAGGCACTGATAAGAGAGCTCTCTGTGACTCACGGAACTATGAGCACCACCAGGAGAGCCAGTGGGGCTGACACTCACCAGCCACCTCTTGAGGGTGATGGGGTTGATGTTGAAGTCTCTGACCAGGCCCAGGTCATGGTACATGTGCTCTAAGCAGCTCAGCATCTGTGGGCAGGGGAGTGGGATGGTCAACAAAGGGAGCTGGCACGTTTGGCCCCTCCTACATCACTCCTCTCCCTGGTGGCTTCTCTCAGGCTGGCCCCCTTCACAGAAGCTCCTCCTGAGGATAGTGGTGGCAGTGAGACCCAGGAGAAGACTCTATTTACTGTAGATTTGGAGAGCACCTGGGAAGGATGTGGGTACTTGAAGGAATAGTCAGAATCTCCCAGGACTGGAAGAGTCAGATTAGGAGTTCATGAGATTTCTTTTCAAGAACAGATAGCAACTGGATGAGAAAGTGCTCCTGGCCTCCCAAATGACCACTTCAAAGCTATTTTACTTATTTCTACTCATAAAAACCACTACCATCTGTCCGTTTATCATATTATATTGGCTTGCACATTACTATGATGCTGGAAGTTATGCTACCACTATTTCAAATCCCAGCAGTGTCAGCCGGGGTGCACAGATTTCAGGGAAACCTCTAGACTAAGACAGATGAGACACAATGGAATACTATGCTGCATTAAAAAACAAGGAACTCATGCAATATTATTCAAAATGGTTGACTCTGGAGAACATTATGCTGAGTGAAATATCCCAGTCACAAAAGGACAGATATTACATGATGCCACTGTTGTAGAATGGGACTGTCCTTGGGGTTGGGGAGAGACTGAGTAAGATGGGTTCAATAATGTATACTGCACTGAAACAGAGGGGGGAGAAAACTGTTTAAAAGAGATATATAACTAGGTAATTCTGTCATCACAGGAGACTAGAGCGAGGGCTACATGGTGGAGGGGACCTGGGGGAGGGTTTGTAAAACAATGAAAGAATCTTTTCTTTTACTTTTCCATAATTTTTGACTCATGTACTTATAACTTGTTAGTCAAATTTGTGTCTTCTAGGTTGCAACACCCCCATGATACATCTTCAAGGATATGAACATGTACGGCCAAGCACAATCAATAAGAGTGCATCTAAATTCCAAAATCAATCTCCATAATAGTCTATGTGTTTCCTAATGCCAAAGGGGCCCTTTAGAGTAGTGAGAGAAGATCTTCACCCTGAAACCCACAGCGTCCCTTTTCAGCAGGAAGTAGCTAAGAGAATACGCCATCCCCTTTTCCTTATGACTCAGTGTGAAGTCTCTCTCAGGGAGGAGTGATAGGGAATGGCAAAGGACACACTGACAAAGAAGATTAATCAGAACTGGCTTTGACAAGCACTGTGGCATTTGGACAAGAACAAACTGGGAGGAGGGTAGAGAGAATAGTGCAACAATGAATGAATGGAAACCCAAAATCTCTGTAAATGTTTATGAAAATTAATAAAATATAATTATAGAAAAAAAAGACAGATGAGAAAGGCCTGGCAATCACCTTATGAAAATCTGCCACGTGAAATTTTAAGTATTACAGTAACCACTATCTGATGGAAATGCTAAAAGGTAAAGCCTTGGGTTGGATGTTGTTATTATGTGCCATTGAGTCACCTGCAACTCACAGCGACCCTGTACACAAGAGTTGTGAACCCTCCCGTATCCCAAGCCCATCTCACTGTCTCTGACACATCTCCTCCACTACTCCAGTTACTGTGTCAACCCACCTCATCCAGGGTCTTCCTCTCATGCACTGCCCTTCCAAGTATAAGGTCCTTATCCAAAGACTGATCCTTCCTGGCAACATGCCCAGAGTGTGAGATGGAGCTTCAAAGTCCTTGCCTCCAAAGAGAAACCTGACTTCACCATCTTCAGTATAGACCTGTTAGCTCTCTTGGCAATTCCTGGTATGTTCAATACTATTCTCCAACTCAAAGACATCAATTTTTATTCTGTCAACCTTAATCCTTGTTCAGTTCTCTAGTGCATAGCAATTGTGAAGCCCATGACCTGAATCAGGTGCACCTTAGTCTCTAGACTGACTTCAGCGTTCTTCAGCACTCTGGAGGTCCCTGACAGCAGATTTTCCTAATGCAATGAATCTTTTGATTTCCTGACTGCTGGTGCCAAGAGTGTTGATTGTGAAATCAAGGAAGAGGAAAACTCAATCTCTTCTCCATCTACCATGATGCTGCCAATTGGCCCAGGGAGGGGAGGATCTTCGTTTTCTTGGTGTTGAGCTGCAATCCATATTGAAGGCTGCAGTGGAAGCCCTTCAAAATACACAGCAGCCACAATGGATGCAGGCACGCACGCGGTCTTGAAGACAGGCATGCACGCGGTCTTGAAGATGGGCATGCATGCGGTCTTGATGGTGCAGGCTCAGGCAAGGTTTTGCTGCATTGTGTATAAAGTTACCACAAGCCAGGGCAGCCTCAATGACAACTCACAATAATAACAAAAATGCAGAGCACAGTCTCAAATGGCCAAGGTCACGGTCCCCTTCCACGTCTTCACTTGTGTGAGTTGTTAGTTCTGCAAAGTCAATCCGTCCCATAGAGACCCATGTGCTACAAGGTAATGCTGCTCCACAGGATTTGAGACTAGGGACCGAAAGAGCTTTTCTGATTTGTATCTGAAAATGCTTAGCTACGCTCCTCAAGGGCCGAGGGACTTTGTACCATCCTCACGTCTTTGTTGCTGCAGTGTCCTCAAGGTGACCCTCTGCTTGGGTAAGCTCCCCTCAAAGCCTGATTTCATGGAACTCTGATTTCTATACAAGTCTGTGCTCCACTTGAAATAGGTTTTGCTTTTTCATTCCCAGGGAGGATTTACTGTCATTATTGAGATCTATTTAAATGTAGCTCAGAGCTTTAGGGCTAATTAAATGAGAGAAGAAAAGATTAAATGACTGAAAAAAAAAGCCCACACAAAACACCCTAGTAAATATGAACTTGACAAGAATGGATGCTGAGTTTTGGGAAAAGCAGGTCTTAAACCAGGGGTTCAGGGGCTCTGCAAAATGGGGATAGTTAGTGTTCCTGGGGGGCCCACGGCATGACACCTGAGCCCCACCAGCCAAGCACTTCCAGCACAGGGCCACTGCCTGCGTCCTGTCCCGTAGCCTCAGCACCACCCCAGTGCCCTGTTGCCCACCTGAGGCAGTGGGCCTGGCGTCGGACTTTGGACCTGGCTCTCTGCCTGCTCACTTGCCATGTGACTTCCTCTTCACAAGAGGACATGCAATCCGCAATCCATCCTTACTTGGTCTGCAATAAACTGGAAGTACTGCGAGTCAGCTGAATTTTTGTTGACCCAACCCTCTAATCAAGGTGTTGATAGGATGACTATGAAAGCAGAGAGTCCTCAGGAAAAAAAAAAATCTTGTAGCACTTCAAATGCAAGCCATTGCTGGAAGTTTGGGATATCACGTAGGAAATTCCCCTGAAGCTTGCTCACTGCAACTACACACTTGTCCTCTCCGAGGGGGCGTGCCTATGTACACTAGATAATATTCCCTGGTGGCAGGCGTGGGGAATGATGACCACTGCAGAATCCTCTACAGAATGGCAGGAGGCTGGTTCCTGGGTCTCCAGATGGCTGGCTGACTACTGACGGGGCTCCTCCGATTTTGCAGATGCCCATGCCTGACCAAGGGCTCACTGTCAGGAACTGCTGGTCCCCCTACATTGTTCAGATGCTGTGTCTCAGGCCTTGTAATAGACTGAGCTGTGCGCCCTAAAAAAAAATCTGTTAAGTCATAATCCTTGTGCCTCGGAACATGACCTTGTTTGGAAATACGGTCTTTGAAGAGGTCACCAGCCTTATCAGGTAGGAGTATGATGGGTCCCTCATCTCTTCTGAGTGACACAGGGAGAAGGCATTATGTGAGACACTTGAAGTTAGTGGTGTAAAGCCCTCACCCTCTGCAACTTTCAGAGCTGTCACTGCTGCAGACCTTGTCCAAGGGTGAGGCCAGGGGGCAACCTGTCAGTGTTTGTTTGTTAAGGAATAGCTAGGGGTCCTTAGGGAGCTCTGGTGGTGAATTGCAGGAGAACTGTGCTGCTAAGCCAAAGGCCATGGCTTTCTGGTAGTTTGAATTCACAGCGGCTCCATGGGAGAACGATGGCCAATTCTCTCATGTGATTTACAGCCTCACAAACCCACGGGAAGGCCAGCTGGGAGTCAGTTCCAACTCATCTGCAATGGGTTAAGAGTTGAGTTGAGAATGTGTTTGGATTGTGGTGTGTCGAACATAGCTAGGTCTGATAAATACAATAAAGGGTGGCGTTTTATTTTCTTGAGGTGCCAAAAAAAAGGAGTATAGTTAATATCTTTGGATAATTTATTGTTCTCTGCCTCCAGGTTGGCCCCTTGACTCATGGAGATCCCACGGACAATGGTGCAAAATGCTACCTGGTCCTGTGATTGGTTGTGGTTTGACTGCTGTGAATCACATAGGGTTCTCATTGGACGATTTAGAGAGGATCTCCAAGCCCTTCCTTTTAGTCCCTCTTAGTCTAGAAGCTTCACCGAGAGCCTGCTCAGCACTGGAACAACATTCAAGCCTCCAGTGGCAGGTAGGTAGTAGCTACAATACACAGGCAGGAATCGAATCTGGATTGTCTGTTTGACAGTTAAGAATTCCACCACTGACTCCACATTAGGTAAAGTAAACAAAACTAGAAATCTTCCTTTAGGTGTCTTCTCAGCTGTGGTGTTAAGGGTTTTCTTTTTTTTTTTTTTTCCAAAATGGATTCCTTAGCCATGATTGACTGTCATGTCTATGGGCGGAAATATGCAAATAAAGTGAGTCTATATGAGAATAGGGTGCATTAGCCTATCCACAGCGGGATTGGCTAATTTCACCATTCAATTAAGTAGATCCAGTAGCAGAATAGGAGAGTCTCACTCCTAGCAAAGGAGAAGCAGGCACAGAGTGGGCACCTTTCAGGACCAGGGAGTCTTGTGTCCCAGGTAGATTTACAGCAGCAGCAGCAGCAGCAGCGGCGGCCAAATCAGAGGACGAGACTTGGCATGAAATGGAGCTGACCTTGGGAATGCTGCCTTCCGTAGAACCAGAGCTAAGAGCCTTTGTCCAAGTTTGTTGGATAACTGGGGGTGGGGAGCATAATTGGCAGGACTGAGAGGTTTATAACAATGGCTAAAAGCTGTCGGGCTCAAGGCTGAGGTGCCTGTGAGCACCTTTTCAAAGTCATCCTCGCTGAATGGCTGTATTTTGCTGCCAACTTGAATTACAGCTCCTTTGATTTCCTGAATGTGGTTCTGTGTGGTCTGTGAGCTATTGTATTGGATTTTGGATCCAGTAAAGCAGTAAGATTGGTGCTGAGATGAATAGAAAGAGGTATGGGAGCGTTGGGGGGGGAAATGTCTGACACCATGGGAACTGGTTTTATGTTGCTAATACTGTTGATGGGGACAGTTCTCCTTTGTGAAGAGGTTGTGAAGAGTTCTTTGGTAAAGGTTGGATATGGTCGTTCTCATGCAGCTCTTGCTCTTTCTACATCAGCAAAAAGTGGCTCGATAGTTCTTAAATTTGCATACAAATTTCCATTGACCTGGGCCTTGCCGTCATCCCAACACTCCTCTGTAAGCCCCTTTTGAGAGGGAAAGTCTGCTCCAAAGCACCAGATCTCCTCTCTCAGTGGTTTCTTCCTCCACCTGCTGGCATAGTGTCTGCTCACTTTGCAGGTTTGAGTCTGTTCTGTTGACCACCTGGGAGTCCCAGGGTCTGAAGTTTCCCTGCACTTGAAGACTGTCTCCTGCTCATGAATCTCCCTGTCCGAGTTCTGTCTTCAGGGTGCTGGGGAACATACACTGTGCATATCTGAGCTAAAAACTGGAGACTTGAATTTGTTTAATCACTTATTTATAAGATAAACAGAGAAAGCACCAAGGAGAGAGCCCAGGCGCTTGCTGCAGAGGATGAACTTGCTGTTCCACCAGAGTGCCTGCTCTCCCAAGCAGCTTCTGGGGACAGCTACAGGCGGTCACTGCCGGGGATGCTCCCCACTTACCTCATTGGGCTCCCAAAGCCAGACATCAAAGGTGGGCTTCCGCAGAGCATCGATGGTCTCTGGAGAGAGCAGGTACTAGAAAGGATGAGAGTTCAACGTCAGCAGGGCAGGGCTTATGTCTCGGTGACAATGGCTAGTGACCTTGGACGTGATTCCCTTTCAAAATCCCCTGCATCCAGACCACAGGTCACGTATCATAGGAATTCTGCAAAGGTCCAAGTTATGGGGACAGAAATCCAAGGAGTGGTGTGAGGAGCTGGGTGTGAGAGAAGGGAAGTGACAGCACTCACGGCTGAAGGCACTTTTGGAGGGACAGAAAGGAAGTGCCTTCTCTTGTGCCACATGCTACACGACTCTCTTTGCATAGACATGATTTTGACTCAACAACCCTCCGCGTGTCTGAGCAGAACTCTGCTCTCCAGGGTGCTCAGTGGCCAATTTTTCTGCACTAAATCACGAGGCATTTCTTCTAAGCCTCCTCTGCGTAGATTTGAACCTCCAAACATTCAGTGAGCAGCTGATTGTGGTAACTGCTCTGCTCAAGGATTCCACATGACTCTCTCTAAGAGAGATTAATTTTATTGCCTGTAAGTTGTAGCTCAGCACATCTGACTTTAAACAAAATAAAAGAAAATGAATTCAAGCAAAAGACTTGGCATACATTCAAATGTCAGCTATGGTGCTGAGTTTCCATCTTTGGGAAGCCATCGCTGGTCTAGCGATAGCCTGCAGAGTGTAGCTTGCTGACGGGCCTGAAGCCCCAGCTGGCTCTACAGACCCCACAGTTTAGGTTAATCTGTCACAAGGAGCATAGACTGCCGTTTTAGATAGAAGAAAACAGCGCTGGGAATCAGAGGCAGGCTTCTCCTTGGACTGTCTGTGTTCACAAAAGTGCTAATATAGAGGATGGAAGCTTTTAGACTCAAGCTATGGGATGTGATCCCCTGGGGCAGGATCTTGAGAGATTTGGCTCAGATTTTCTTAGAGATAAAGTCGCTAGTCTGTTCCAGTAGGTCCTCTTCCTGCCAAGGACTGGACACACTGCTGGGAGCTGGTGGGCACAAGCACTAACTAGTGGGCACTGGCGGCTGATAGGGGCACCAAGACTCCCTTCATTGCCTGCTCAAGTGCAGGCTGTATGGGAGACGCCTGGTACAGGGTCCTCATTTCTTCCATCTGGGGGTGCCACCACAGGTCACATTCAGAAAGACTGAATCTTTTCTCTTTCTTTAACATGGTGATAAAACACCTATCTCAAGAAACTTGCTACTATCTCCATTTCAGTTGCACCATTTAGTGATTGACATTAAGTACATTCACCATATTGTGCGGCCATCTCTGCTACCCACTTCTAGAAGCATTCCATCACCCTAAACAGAAACTCTATACCCTAATTCTCCCACCTCCTGGGCCTGGTAACCATCCACCCACTTTCTTTCTCTACGCATCTGTCTGTGTCAGACATTTCATATAAATGGGATCATACACTACATCTTTTTGACCCTGACTTACTGCACTCAAGGAACTTTGGGGGCATAATGTGTAGTTTGTGTTACTAACAAAAAGTTTGTTGTTGTTGTTAAGTGCTGTTGAGTCGTTTGTGACTCATAGCGACCCTATGTACAACAGCCCTAAGCCCTGCTCTATCCTGTGCCAATCTCATTGCCTCTGACACACCCATCCTGATTACCCCAGTCACTGAATCAATCCACCTCATAGGGGGTCTTCCCCTCCTGCGCTGTCCCTCCACCCTACCCAGCATGATGTCCCTCTCCAAGGACCCATCCCTCCTGGCAACATGTCCAAAGTATGTCAGATGAAGCCCCAGAATACTTGCCTCCAAGGAGTAGCCTGGTTTAACCCTCTCCAGAGTGAATCTGTTTGTTTTCCTGGCAGTCCATGCTACATTCAATACTCTTCTCCAGCACCACAGCTCAAAGGCATCAATTCTCCTTCTATCCTCCCTAGTCATTGTCCAACTCTCTGATGCATAACAAGTGATTGCAAAGACCATGGCCTGTATCAGACAGACCTTAGTCTCCAGGGAGACACCGTTGCTCTTGAGTGCTTTAGAGAGGTCCCTAACAGCAGACTTTCCCATCGCAATACGTTTTTTATTTCCTGGCTGCTGGTGCCAAGAGTGTTGACCATGGAGCCAAGCAAACTGAAGCTGTGAACAATATCAATCTCTTTGCCATCCATCCTGATGCTACCGATTGGTCCAGTGGTGAGAATCTTTGTCTTCTTGACATTGAGCCTCAGTCCATACTGAAGGCTGCAGTCCTTGACCCTCTGCAGTAAGTGCATGAGGTCCTCCTCAGTTTCAGCGAGCAGGGTTGTGTCATCTGCATAACGCAGATTGTTGATAGATCTTCCACCAATCCTAACACCACGCTTCTCCTCATAGAGCCCAGCCTCTGGGATAATCTGCTCTGCACACAGGTTGACAAGGTATGGAGACAGGACACATCCCTGGCGTACACCCTTCCCAATTTTGAACCATGCAGTGTTGCCCTGCTCTGTTCTAACGACTGCCTCTTGGTCCAAGTATAGGTGGTACAAATCTACCAGTGCTCTCCTGATGATAGAGAGGTAGTCTCCTTCTTTCAAAATGTATACAGCCTCAGAGACCTGAGGAAGGGTGGCTATGAGTCAGCATTGACACGGGGGCAGTGGGGTTTGGTTGGGGTTCTTGCACTCAGCGTATGTTTTCAAGGTTCATCCATGTGATGGTATGGATCAGGATTTTGCTTCTCTTTATGGCTGAGTTGTATTGATTGTGGTGAATACAAGATCAATATACAGAAGTCAGGGAGATTCCTTTGCAGTAACAAAGAAAATATGGAGAAAGAAAATAAGAAAGTAATAAAATATACGATAGCCAACCACAAATCGAGATACTTAGGAATAAATTTAATTTGAGACACAAAAGACCTTTACAAAGAAAATTACAAAACACTTCTGTGAGAAACAATAATAGAGCTAAATAAGTAGATAAATGTGCCCTGTTCATGGATAGGAAGACTCACTAGTGAAAATGACAATCCTACCAAAAGCAATTTACATATTCAATACAGTCCCAATACAGATATCAAATTCATTTTTCAAAATAGAAAAGGAAATTGGCAAGTTTATCTTGAAAGGAAAGAGATCTTAAATAAGCAAAGCCTTTCTGAAAATCAAGAATGAAGTCAGAGGCACAGCACTCCCTGATCTCAAAACCTACTACACAGCTGTGACAACCAAAACAGCACGGTACTGGTACACAGCCAGGCACATAGACCAATGGAACAGAATTGAGAACCTGGAAATTAACCCATCTGTCTATGGTCAACTGATAATCAATAAGAAAACAAATCTTATCAAATGCTATCAAATGGTGAAATGACAACCTCTTCAACAAACGGTACTAGCAAAACTGGACGGCTACCTGCAGAGAGTTGAAGCAGGATCTATATCACACACCATACTAAAAAATCACTCAAGATTCACCAGATGCTCTGCTGGAGAAGGAGGAACAATCTCCTCCTGTACCAGTCAGAACTGATTTGACGGTACACACACAAAAATAATAAAGTAAAATAAAAAAAAAAATCACTCAAGGGGATCAGAGACCTAGGGGGAAAGCCCAAAACTAGAAAGATAATAAGAGCCAAATAGAGATCAAGCTTTCTAGAAGGCCTAGCTCATGTTATACAGAGGCTGACAAATACAACCAGAAATACACAACCAGGAGAGGATAAAATTGATGAGTGGGACCTTCTAAACATTAAAACACTGTGTGCATCCAAAATTTTTTCCAACAGGGTGAAAAGAAAACATACTGACTGGGGGAAGACATTTGGCAATACTATTTCAGACAGGGTCTCATAACAAAACTTACAGAACCCTACAGGGCCTCCAAAAGGAAAAGACTGATAACCCAATTACAAAATGGTCAAAAGATATGGAAAGAATTTTCGCAGAGAAAGATATTCAGATGGCCAACAGACATGAAGAAATGTTCAAAATTTCTGGCAATCAGAGAGATGCTAATAAAAACTACAATGAGAGCCCATCTCAGCCCAGAAGGAGTGACAAAGTTTAACAGCAAGCAATAAAAGTTGGAGAGGATGCAGAGAGACAAGAACTCTCATACACTGTTGGTGGGATTGTAAAATGGTACAACCATTCTGGAAAGCAGTTTGGCACTTACACAAAAAGTTGAACATAGAAATTACATATGATCCAGTTATTCCACTCCTAGGAAGAAACCTTGAGAAAATTAGAACTGAGATACAAATGGAGTTTTGTACACCAATGTCCTTAGCAATGTTATTCACCATTGCAAGGACATGGAAATGGCTCCATGTCCAACTACAATCTAATGGACTGGGAAACTGTGGTGCATTCACACAACGGAATATTACACAGCACTCAGGAACAACAATTTAGAAAATTACTACATAATTTTGCTGAGTGAACTAATTCAATCTTACAAGGGCAAAGACCATTATTATAGAAATAGAAAGATAATTAGTAAAACATGCATGAGAATCCAAAGTGGGAGGATGAGAGCAGAGGGCTGAAGATGGGCATCGGGAAAATCTTAGGGTCATACAATTTGGTGTGTTGGAGGGACGAGGGGTAAAAGGAATGGGAAAAACCCAGTGGGGATCTAGAAAGACAGGGTAATTGTGGCATAGTTCAATGAGGATTAATTTTATAAAACCTAATGGGAACAATTCTATGAAACACAATGTGAATGAAGGATAGCGTGAAGCACAATGTACATGAATTTTGTAAGCAAACCAACACAAAATAAGACTTTTTAAAAAACTGTGGTTAAAGTATAAATAAGAAAACATAATGCCAACGCAACAATTTCAACATGTATAGTTCAGAGACATGGTTTACTCTTCAAGTTATATGACCATTCTCACCATCCTTTCCCAAATCACTCCACCATCATTAGCATAAACTCACTATCTTCTAAGCTGGGCAGATCTCATTTTGTCCATTCATTTATTGATGACTTGGGTGTTTCTACTCTTCCAGGAGCCCTCATTTTAGTTCAAAGATAAATAAAATATTGGTTAGGCCAGGATTTCACTCACATGTACAAAGACATTGTTGAGATGGGAGACTGAAACAATGAGATTATTCTCTTAGTCGTTTGAAAAAATAAAAAAAAAAATCCCCTGAGTCCTGGAGATTTGGGGTAAAAAACACCCCAAAATAACAAACCCAACCACAAACAAACAACAAAACATCTAGCAAAATGTTATGATGAAATATGTAAAGACTTGGAGTTAGAAAATTACAAGGACAGAACATGCTTGACTTTTTCAAGCAGAAATAACCAAAGAATAAAATGAAGCCTTGAATTGCAAAACTGAAGGATTCTATGAGCAAAATCTTGAATGACACAAGAAGCATCAAAAGAAGATAGAAGGAATGCATCCTTGTACCAAAAAGAAATGGTTAACAATGAACCATTTCAAGAAGCATCATGTGAACAAAACCAACAGTACTGAAGGAAGAAGTCCAAGCTGCACTGAAGGCATTGGCAAAAAAAAAAAGGTTCCAGGAATTAATGGAATTCCAACTGAGGTGTTTCAGCAAACAGAGGCAGTCCTGGACAGATGCCAAGGAATCTGGAAGATAGCTCCATGGCTAATCGACTAGAAGAGATCCAATTTTTCCCATTCCCAAAAAAGGTATATAGCAGAGTACAGAAATTAACAAACAATATAATTTTTATCACATACAAATAAACTCTTGCAGAAAATTATTAAATATTAACTGGAGAAGTACAGAAATTCAGGTTGGATTCACAAGAAGTCATAGAACAAGGGATAACATTGCTGATGTTAGATGAATCCTAGTGAAAGTAGAAATTGTCAGAAAGATGTTTACTAGTGTTTTATTGGCTATTCAAAGGCATTCAACTAATTGGATCAAAATAAATTATGGATAACATTGAGAAAAATGGCAATTACAGAAGAATTAATTGTGCTCATGTGAAATCTGTACATAGATCAAGAAACAGTTATTAGAACAGAATAAGCAGATACTACATGTTTAAAATTAGGGGAGATGTGTGGTTGTATCCTTTCACCTTCTCTGTTTAATCTGTATTCTGAGTAAATAATCAGCGAAGCTATATGAAGAAGAATGTGGCATCAGTATTAAAAACCTGTGTTATGCAAATTACACTGTTTTATTTGGACTTGGAGAATTTACTACAGAGGCTCAAAACTCCAGCTTTTGATATGGATTATACCTCAACATCAAGAAAGTAAAAATTCTCACAATGGAACCAAAAGGTGAGATCATGGTAGAGAAAAATATTAAAATTATCAGCAATTTCATTTTACTTGTATCACAATTAACATCCAAAGAAATAGTAGTCAAAAAAGTCAAATGACATAATATGTTGGGCAAATCTATTGTCAAAAACCTCTTTAAAAATGCTAAAGACAAAGATATCAGTTTAAAGACTAAGATGCACCTGACCCAAGTTGGGATATTTTTAATTCCTGCATAAACATGTGAAAGTTGGGCAATGAGTAAAGAAGATCAAAGAAGAATCTAGGCCTTTGAAAAGTATCCCGTGAACAGCCAAACGAACAAACAAGTCTGTCTTGGAAGAAGTGCAATCAGGGTGATCCTTAGAGGCAAAGATGGTGCAACTTCATCTTACAAACCTCAGACATGCTGTCCGTCCTTGGAAAAAAGACATACTTCTTGGGAAAGTGGGGGTTTGGGAAAGGAGAGAAACATCCTCAGCAAGACTGATTGACACACTGACTGCAACCACGGGCTTGAACATGACGGAGATTGTAAGGACGGTTCAGGATAACCACAAAGTTTGCCTCTTGAACTGCAGTCAACTGAGTGACACCTAATAACAATTCTAAGAACACGGTATTTGGACAAGGGCTGGTTCTCATCAAGCTGAGAAGTCTTTCATGCCAAATACTGACATTTTTCATAACAATTATATATACCTAGGGAACAAGTGATTCAGTGACATGGACTTTAAAAATTATATATATTTACAATTAAAGTTATTTAAAGTAACGCTGGTTATAAAAACCATTTACTAGTCCACAGCAAGGGCTGGAATGGACAAGAGTGAGGAGTTTACAGTAACGTTGCACAAAGTAAAGAATGGTCAGGGATCTTTTTTGCTAAACAAATGTCAATGAGAAAAAGCATGAGCCCTAAGATAAACAGGAGGCCTGTGAGTCCAGGGGTGTGGAGGATGCTGTGTTTGTAGACATGAAGATAGCTGGATCACCAAGAGGAGGCCTCCAGGCCTCGGTGGCCAGGCAGGGAGTGCTGTGGTTTGGGGTTGTAGAAAAAGACAGTCACTCTCTTTAGATATAGAATTTCAGTTTTACCTTGGGGTAAGGCGGGACATCCCGTCGAGGTGTCAACTTCTTGTTGTTATCAAGGAAACTGTACTTGCAGGGACAATTGGTCCTAAAAAGGGGGAAACATTAAAAAAATAAAAAGATCAGTTCTGGCAAGATGGTTTCAAACTTTTTTTTTTAAAAAAAAAACTTTTCAGTAAAATATGTTAGGAAACATTACAGTTCAACCACTTTAAAGGCTACACAACATTACATACACTTCCAAGTGCCTATTCTCCCCGTGAACAGACTGTGCACCCCTTCAGCAATGACTCCCCACTTCTTGGAGCCTTTGGGAGTACTGATAGCTGTGGCCTCCAAGCATTTTTCTAGTCCAAGTTTTTCAAGAGAAGTCACACACCATTTGCTCTTTTGTGTCTTATTTCACTGGTCATAATGGTTTCCAGGTTCATCAATATTGTACCTGTAGTAGAACTTTATATCTTTTTATGGCTAAACCCTATTCCATTTTGTGCATATACCACACTTTGTTGATCTGTCCACACCTGGCTTGTTAAGGGAGCTGCCACAGGTGGTTTGCTAGGAACTCACAGGTCAGTCAATGAGCAGGTGGGGTAAGTCAGTGTGTCAAATGGAGCCGATGATTTGCCAAGAGGGCATCACTAAGGGGGAGAAGAGTGTGATAAGATTCAAACTCAAACTCACTACCTTCAAGTCGATACCAACTCAAATCAACCAGCCCTCCACTGTGTTTCCCAGGCTGCAAATTTTAATGGGAGGAGACTGTGCGTCATTCTTTCATGAAGCCACTGGTGGATTTGAACCAGGAGAGACGTGTGGTCTTTTGTTTAACAGCACAGCATACAGAAGTACCCACAAAGAATTTATATCATAGAAAGCTGTTTACTCTGGGGACTTTATTTTGGGAAAAGCCTTAAGCAGAAGCAAAGAGCTCTCAGCATAAAAATGGTTTTTTTGCAACATTATTTATTGCTACAAGAACACAAACTAGAATCTGTCTACGTGTCCCCAAATAGGAAATAATTTAAATCATTGTGGCACTTCATCAGAACAGAGACACAGGACACAGCCCTTATGCACTCCTTTCCTGATTTTGAACCATGCAGTGTTTCCTTGCTTTGTTCAGCTCCTAGTCCATGTATAGGTTTTGCATGAGCACAATCAGGTGTTCTGGGATTCTCATTCTTCTCAAGGTTACCACACTTTGTTGTGACCCATGCAGCCAAATGTTGTCAATAAAACACAGACATTCCTCTGGTACTCTCTGCTTTCGATTAAAATCCACCTGAAACTAAAGAGGGCCTGAAACATTTGGCAAAGGACCAAGAACTGTAGACTGTAATATAGACTGAAGTGTGACATCAAGAAGATGAAGATTCTTACTAGTGGGCCAAATGGCAGCACCCTGATAGATGGAGAAGAGACTCAGATTTTTAACAATTTCAGCTTGCTCGGTTCCACAATCACACCCTTGGCACCAGTGTTCAGGAAATCAAAAGACAAGCTGCATTAGGAAAATCTGCTGTCAGAGAATTCTCCAGAGTGCTGAAGAGCAAGGCTATCATCTAAAAACTAAGGTGTGCCTGATACAGGCCGTGGTTTTTGCAATTACTTGCTATGCATCAGAGAGATGGACAGTGACAAAGGATGACAGAAGAAGAATTGATGCCTTTGAATTGTGGTGCTGGAGAAGACTACTGAACATACATACCATGGACTCCAAGAGAACTAATAGGTCTGTCCTGGAGAGGATGAAATCAAGTTGCTCCTTGGAGGCAAGGATTTTGTTAATCCGACTCACATAATTTGGGCATATAGCCAGGAGAGACGAATCTTTGGAGAAGGATGTCATACTTGGAAGGGTTGAGGGACAGCACAGGAGAGGAAGATCCCAGACGAGATGGATTGACCCAATAACGGGTGATGAGTTTAGATGTATCAAAGACAGTGAGACTGGCTCAGCATAGAGCAGGGTTCAGAGCTACTGTGCATAGTGCCCTTACGAGTTGTAGTCAATGGCACATAACAACTACAACGTGGTTCTTTAACATGATGGCTGCTATAAGAATGACTATTACTTGAGACAGAAGATTTGAAGCAAAAAAGGAAAATAAAAATATTGTTGGCTATACATCCACAAACGCTAGTACTGCAAAGGAATAAAAAAGAAAATGAGGAAACTATGTGGACAAAAAAATATGAATACTATTGTTTTCTTTTGGAAAAAAATCCATGAGCTGTATGTTAACTACAATGTAGTTACTGAATTGTTTAGTTACAATTTATTTGTAACTAACAATGGGTCTAGGTGAAGAAGCAAGTGTTTGTGGTTGAAGCATTCATCTGTTAATGAATGGTGAGCAGTTTGCACCCACCTGATGCTTTGAGGGAGGAAGACCAGTTTTATTTCATTGTTTCCCTCCTTATTGAAGCAGAGGCACTTCTATAAAGATTTACAGCCTTGGAAACACCATGGGGCACTGTTGTTGTGAGTGGGAATTGATTGATGGGTTTTGAGCTGTGGCTTGTTCTCAATGTTATTAAGTGAAGAAAGATTACAACAGAGTGCTTTTAAAGTGATTTTCAAAAACAGGTATCTATACATAGAAAACATCTGGAAGGTTTAAACCCCATCAATCCCATCATTAATTTGACTGCTGTCATCATGCTGATTTTCCTCCCTCAGTATATTCTGCAAGTTTTACAACGAGTCTGTGCTTTTAAACCCCAAATCATAAATCTCTTTCCTGGTGGAAAAAAGAGCTTCCAGTATCATTTTCCTGGCATGCAGCTATTCCTTTCCCCGGCTTGATGCTTGCAGAAATCCTCAGAAGTTACCTCAACAGTTTGCTGTGCAGAGGGAGATTTTAACACCAACTGAGAGAAAGAATAACTGAGTGAATGATCCACTAAAATGCACCCATAAAAGGACTTTTGTTGCCACCCCGGACCACGATCAATCCCATACACACATTTCTGAGCGGCAATGACCTTGTTCTGTGTAATTAAAATACATAGTCTTATTATTATTGCTTCTCTGCCTTTAACCTCTTTTGTATATATGTTTAGGGGTCCCTGGGTGGTGCACGTGGTTAAGCAAGCTCTCAGCCACTAACTAAAACGTTGGCGCTGTTCCCCAGAAGTGCTGGGGATGAAAGGCCTGGTGATTCACTCTCCACAAGCAGCCACTGAAGACCACGCAGTAGTCCTTCCACACGCACAGAGGTGTGGGGCTTGTTTGTTTTATTGGCACAGCACGTACACACCTGTGGCCTAGGTAAGTCTGCATTTCTCAAAGGGGTTATGAAAGCTTTGACCAAGCAACATGGTGTCACTGCTGGGATCCAGCTGTTTCCCTGAACTCCTGACATGGAAGAAAATGTGCCCTGTGCCCAGCCACCCTGCCTTTCTGGCCCAGGCTGGTTAGTGCCTGGCTTCTGCATCTTGTTGCCACGGGAACCAGCATCCTCTTCACTCACTGTGCAGCTGGTACCAGGCCTTTTCTATTGTCTTTGCAGTGGATTTTCTCTTTCATTTTCTTGACTCTGTCCTTCCTTCCCTGGGGGCTCAGTCTGGTCAAGGACCATTAGGCGGGTATGAAAGCACAGATTGCAGGTCCTCAGTGCCCTCTGCGGGCAGTTACCCAGGGCTTTGTGCTGCAGCACACCATGTGTCGGGGCTGGTATAATGCAGGGGCTGGACGGATGGCCACCCCAAAGGCCTGGCTGGGTCCTGTCTGATATATGGAGAGGCAGAAAAATCTTGAGACCTATGCAGGGAGTCTCAGAGCAGCACAGCAGCGCATCTCAGCAGGCGTCTGATGGCCTGAGAATGATGTGATTCCAAAAGGCAGGTCTGACTCCACCCAGGTCCTGAGGCCCTGCTGCACTGTGGGGATGTGGAAAATGGGGTCACTCTCTCAGCAGCCACTCCTGAGGGCACAGACTGTGCACTTCTGGAGTCAGGCCGACCCCATAGGACCAGGCTGCTCAGTCACACACACTTCTCCCTCATGGCACATGGCAGTCACATCTTAACAAGTCAGCGCTTTGGATTCTAAATTGCTCCAATGTCACCTCATCTCACACTTAAAATGGAACTCCAGCATTGATGGAGACAAAGGGTACACAACCCAAATGACTTACTGGTCTCTCTCAGAACATATGGACAGAAAGCAGAGCAGAGAGTTATTTTTGTGGGGTTGTGGGATAGGGTCTGAGTTGGGGGATCTGATCAGAATCCAAGATGTTGTTGCCTTCCCCTCCAACCCCTTTTCTTTTTAAACTTGAGAGCAGTTTACTTGGTTTGCATTTGTCTTGTCACACTTCCGTGGGAGCCATGAACGCTGTAGCTGACACAGCGCTCAGGAAGCCAGGGGTCTGAAGGGCCCATGTTCTTTGGGTTAGGACCTGGGATCTTTGAAGCTCACCTCCTGAAGAGCGTACAGGGTCTCTCAGTGCTTCAGTGACAGCACACAGCCTCTTGGTGAGGCCCAGAGGGTACCTGTGAGCTGACCATCTCACCCTCACTCCAGGGCTCTTCCTCCTGTACACTCTGAAGCCACGTCCCTGATGAACAAGCTGGCCAGGTCACCCTGGGACACATGGTCCTGATGTGCCCCACACTGGCCTGCCATTCGTCTGTTACAGCCTACTGGCTGCACACCTGGCCACAGCAGCTGGTCACCATCCATGAGAGCTCGGCCACAGAGCAGATGGGGCGTGGCTAATTGGAGTTTCTCACCTGGGCATTAGGACCAGCTGCAGGAGGGAGGTCCAGCACTTGCAGCAGGGACCACTGGCAGCCAGAGGGCGAGGATGAAGTTCACTCTTGGAGTTATGAAGGCCCAGAGCTAAGAGCACCAGATGGCCAGGGGTCTGTTGGTCTATCTTCTGCCCGCCACTCCAGGTCCCAGGCTGGCCTCAGTGAAACTACATGGTTCATGCCTGCTGTCATGTGAGGGGCCCTGTCTCTCCCCCCTCAAAGAGTCTCTTATCAGAAGGATGAGGAGGATGAATTCTTTACATGGAATTTTCAACGGCCCCAAATTCCTTTGCCCAACTCTCCTCAAGTCAAATGGGGCAAGCTAGTCCTAAATTCAATATGGCCATAAATAAGTGTGGCAAAATGTGGCACAGTCCACAAAGACCTTCAGACATAGCTCCAAAAGCACCGCCTCCAGGCAGCCTTCCTTGATAAGCTGCCCGGACACTTTGTAAGTCAAATGGTTTTTACCATCCACTTTCTTTAAAAAACGATGCCCATTTCTTTCTGGCAGCTAATACAACTCAGCAAAACCATTTTTTTTTTCCTCTGGGGGGAATCTTTCTCCTTCGTATGCAGTCACCTACATCGCTTCACTCGGCCATAAATTCTCTGTACTTTAACACTAGGCCCCGAGTTGATGTGGGCTGCTTCCGGACTGAACAGGGAGTCCTGGTGGCCTAGTCTATGGGGAGTTGTGTTGCTAACCCAAAGGCCTCGCCTCTCTGGTGGTTCAAATCCACCCTCAGCTCTGTGGGAGAAAGATGAGCAGTCTCTTCCCGTGCAGTTTACAGCCTCAGAAACCCAATGGAGGGTCAGCTATGAGCTAGTTCTCAGGAGATAGTAGCGAGCTGAGTTAATTGTGGGAGCTCTGGTGGCCCAGAGAGTAAGAAGTTGCACTGCCACATGAGAGGTGCTGCCAGCTGCTTCCCAGGAGAGGGATGGACCATTTCCTCCCATGTGTTTGACAGCCTCTGAAAACCTGCTGCAGAGTCAGCCAAGAGTCGGTTCTGACTCAATGATGACACATAACAACAACAACAATAGAAATGGAATTTTATAAGTTGCCATTTTATGCGAAAGAAAACCCCAAAGCACACCCCACAGACCTTACCTGTTGCTTCTGGCTGCTAGCTCCTCCCTCATCTTCTTGATGTCACTTTTGCATTTCTCAATCTCTACCACCTTCAGTCCTTCCACTGGCAACAAAGAGAAACAAGGAGGGGTTTACCCTGAGTTCACCTGGACACTGGTTCTTTCTGTCTGGGGAGGAAACCTGGCACAGCTCAGGCTCCGATGGCCCTGGCATTACTATCTGGGCTGTGGTGGCCAAGTTCCACTGGTCACATCTGTGGTGCCTTGAACTCCCTCATCCCTCCCCACTTCCCTCACCCCTACTCCAGTCTCTGGGCCCTTCATGCTGTCACCTTTTGCCTTTTCGGTCTTACCCTGGATTGCCAATGAAGAAAATGGGACAAAGAAGTCTTTTACCCTCAAAAGAAAAGAAAGAGGGGGAAATGTGGCCACATTGCACATTAAAATCCACTGGAAGGCTCAGAAAAGCCACAGGCCTTCCCAGCAAGGATTAAAATCTCATTAAGATAAAAGCAGTTCATTAGGGGTGTCCCCCACGGAGAGTAGTTAACTAGGAAAAACTGCTAGCTTAAAGCATCTGAGAAATAAACAGGCCAAGCTAACTCAGGGAGCCCTGTGGCAGGGCTGAACCCCCAAAGACATGATCTTATTTTTCATCAAAAAGCAAACTGGTTTCTTTAGGGTATATTCCCAGTAGTGCAATTGCTGGATCAAACAGTATTTCTATTTCCAACTTTTTAGAAAGCACCATACTACCTTCCATAGTGGTTGTACCATTTTACACTCTAATAGTGAATAAGGGTTCTGATTTCTTACAACCTCACCAGTATTTGTTGTTTGCTGCTTTGTTGAACTTTGCTATTGTTACTGGGGTGAGATATATCTCATAGTTGTTTGGGTGTGCATCTCTATTAGAGATACAGATTTTGAACATTTCTTCATGTGCTTGTTAGCCATCTGAATGTCTTCTTTGGTGAAGTGTCTGTTCATATCCTGTGCCCATTTTGTGATTGGGCTGTTTACCTTTATCTTGTTTTGGTGCTGAAATATTCTATAAATTCTAGATATGTCTCTTATCAGACACATCATTACCAAATATTTTTTCCCAGTCTGTGGCTTTCCTTTTCATCCTGCTGGAGTTTTCTTGATGTGAATAGGGAACTTCCCCCAAAACAGATATATGCACACCCAAAGAGATAGAAGCAACCCAAGTGCCCATCAACAAATGAATGGATAGAGAAGCTGTGGTATAGTCACACAATGGAATATTACTCTGCACTGAAAAACAAGGAACTCATGCAATATTATTCAAAATATTGTCCCTGGAGGACATTATGCTGAGTGAAGTATCTCAGTCACAAAAGGACAAATACTGTATTATGCCACTGTTATAAAACATGACTGACATTGGGGGTTGGGGGGACAACTAAGAAAAAAGGGGATGAATAATGAACACTGTATTTGAACAAATGAAATAAAGGATTGTTTAAAAGGAATATATGATTTGGTATTATTTGCATGAAAATAGTCCAGAATAAGAGGTGCATAGTCGTCTGGGGGTGGGGGAAGGAAATTGTGCAACAATAAATGAAATTTTTAAAGAGAAAAGTGATCTGGGGAGGTGGTTAGGGAGGAAAATGTGCAATAATGAAATGAATGGAAATCTAAGTTTTCTGTAAACTTTTGTTAAAAATCACAATAAAACATTATTTAAAAAAAAAGCAAACTGATATTTCTATCCCTGACAAGGGTCAAACTTCAAGGCACTCATCTTGTATATTTAGAAAGAAATGCTGCCACGAAGCACTTTGGAGAGGCCTTTAGACTACAGTCGGTTTACAAGTCATAAAAAAGATTAGATTTTTATACTTTGTAATCACATCTCAATTTTCATGCAAAAGGATGCTGCCCACGATGTCACCCTGTTCTCCCTTCCACTGAGCCTGGCTCTGAATAACTGCTAAAAATAAAACATGAAAGATTTCAACAGGAAAAACAAAATAACCTACTGACTGTGACTGTCGCTAACAATTCTCTGCCACCCCCTGAGGAGCTGCCAGCTCTTCACCTGTCCTGGGGAAAGGTCCCCAGAGGTGTCAGGCAGCATGACCTGGACGGAGCCCCAAAGCTGGGCTTTCTAAGCATCTCTAACGTCAGGAGTCTATGTGAGAATGCAGCTGTGCAGGGACACTGCTGCTTTCTGCCCAGAGTGATGAGGAACTGGAGGGGTTTGATAGTTGGACCTGGTCCCGAGGACTTGCCTCTGTGCCACTGTGATCCGTGTGAAGTTCAAAGCCCCTCTCTGCTCTCCTCTACCATGACGGCGGGAGCACACTGTGACTGTTAGGATTGGACTGCATTTCATCAAAAGCTGTGTTCATGTCCTAATGCCTGTACCTGTGAAGATGACCTTCTTTGGACTAGGGTCTTTGAAGATGTTATCAGAGCAGAAGGCCATGCTGATAACACCATCAAGTTAGCCTTAGGCACAAATGAATGAAACATGGCTTGGCCCTTAAGGTCCTGTGCTTGCTTGAACCCATACGAGGGTGGGATGGGTCTGAAACCTCACCCTTTCTAAGGAGTGATTTATGAAAAGAGGAGGATAGACACAGAGAGAGTCAGAGGGAAGAGACCACACATGAATCTTGTTTTCAAAGAAATTGGCTCTGTTCCCTAGAGTCAATGCCGTGATTTGGACTTTGAGCCTCCAGAATCCCCACCTAACACGTGTTTGTGAAAGTCTCTCACTTGTGGCATTCTGTTTGTTGTTTGTTTCAGCAGCCCTCATGGCATTCTGTTTGTTGTTTGTTTCAGCAGCCCTTGTGGCATTCTGTTTGTTGTTTGTTTCAGCAGCCCTAGGGAACAAGCTGTGAAGTGGCATCAAGTAGATTTAAAGTTAGTAGGTCAGAAGAGACTAGGCATGCCATTCACAGATTCATCCTTACATTTGCTATGTTTTCAATACTTTTTTCCCCTTTCTGATTCAGAATAATACGGGACCATAGTAGAAAATACAGGGAATATAGAGCATCCCAAAGGAGAGTATTTTAAAAAACATTGATGGCAAGAAGCTGCTCTGAAATCACAAAGGCACGCACCAGCTGCTCCACAGGAGAATGATGGGCAGTCTCATCCCGTGCCATTAACTGCTTCTGAAAACCCACTGGAAGGTCAGCTAGGGGTTGGTTCCAACTCAATGGTACACAGCATATTATATAAAAAATGTTGTTGTTATGTGCCATCGAGTTCCCTGTGACTCATAGCAACCCTATGTACAACAGCCCTAAACCCCGCTCTATCCTGTGCCAATCTCACTGTCTCTGACACACCTACTCCCACTACCCCAATCAGTGAATCAATTCACCTCATCGAGGGTCTTCCTCTCCTGCACTGTCCCTCCACCCTCCCAAGCATGACGTCCCTCTCCAAGGACTGATCCTGCCTTGCAACATGCCCAAAGTATATCAGACTAAGCTTCAGAATCCTTGCCTCTATGAAGCAGCTTGGCTTCACCCTCTCCAGGACGAACTTGTTTGTTCTCCTAGCAGTACATGGTATATTCAATACTCTTCTGCAGAACCACAGCTCAAATGCATCAATTCTCCTTCTATTATCCCTAGTCATTGTCCAGCTTTCTGATGCATAGCAAGTGATTGCAAAGACCAAGGCTTGTATCAGGTGCACCTTAGCCTCTAGACTAATATCGTTGCTCTTCAGTACTTTAGAGAGGTCTCAGACAGCAGACTTTCCCAGTGCAATTAGTTTTGAAATTTCCTGGCTGCTGGTACCAAGAGTGTTGATTGTAGGGTCAAGAAAGCTGAAGCTTGTTAACAAAGCAGTCCTTGACCTTCTGCAGCAAGCGCTTCAGGTCCTCCTCAGTTTCAGCAAGCAGGGTTGTGTCATCTTCATAACGCATATTGTTGATGAGTCTACCTCCAATCCTGATGCCACATTTCTCCTCATAGAGCCCAACCTCCCAGATAATCTGTTCCGCACAGAGATTGAAAAGATACGGAGATAGGACACATCCTTGGAGTACACCCTTCCCAGTTTTGAACCATGCAGTGTTTCTTTGCTTTGTTCTGACGAATACCTCTTGGTTCAAATATAGGTTTCACATAAGCACAATCAAGTGTTCTGGGATTCCCATTCTTGTCAGAGTCAGCCACATTATAAAAAATAACCCTTTTAAAAATATTATAAGCATTAGGGTTCATCATTCCAGGATGTCTTTCTAACGTATTCTCTCCTCTCTGTCTATCTCTCCATCCATCCATCCATCCATCCATCCATCCATCCATCCATTCATTCTTAATATTCAAAAGAAAATGAGATAATGATATCTATTCTACTATGCAAGTTGCTCTGTCACTTAACAATAAATCACAGACACTGCCCCTGTTACACTGGGTCTCCTGACTTGTGGATTTTGATGGGTATGTACAAATACTGTTTGCTTTTATCACTATTAGAGTTCATGCAGATCAACCTCTGGTCATTTCTTAGGTAAGGTTAAGATTAAGCCTTTTAGGTGCATCATGCAATGTCACTAATATGATCCCAGATGTTTAAACCTTACAGTAAGGATTATGCTTATGAATAAACGGTTTCCACAGCATCGATGGCAGAAGTTGTGCTTTAATCAATGTTTCATGGAAGGATGGAGCTGGAAGGGGACACAGGGGTCAGGCAGCTGGAAGGTGCTAAGGTAGGACAGATTTGGGCTTGAACCTAAGTCTCCTGGTCCCCAGTCCCATCTTCTGGATACTGTCTGCCTCTTGCAATGCTCCTTGGTCACTCACAGCCCCAAGCCAGTCCCTTCCTCATGTTAGCCCATGAGAGAACACAAGCGCCAAGAGCAGGACCTGGGGCCCATGACATCACTGTGGGGGAAGTCACACAAGGTACCACCATCAGAGGGAGTGATTCTAAAAATGACTGTCTATAACATTTGTGTGCAGTGTTTCAGCAGAAATGTATTTATTTTTAGTAAAAAAATTTCCCTGTAATTAGTTGTAAGAATAAAGGCAGATTTTTATAAGCCCAGCTTACATGTCTTATTATTGCACCTCAACAAGAAAAGCAACAACTCGTAGCTGTT